TTCCAATCCTCATTGACTACTCCACTGAACTTCTACTCCCCACCCACTTTATTGCAGGTTAGATTCCAGTGGAATTTGAGAGAGGACACAAAGGTTACACTTCAGCTATGGCCAGTCAGGAATCATAATTAATTAGTAGACTTGAAGGACAGCTATTTCTTAGATATTTAGGTGTCAGCCTTATATCCTGTATTTCCTCATTTCTGAAATCTGTGAGCAAAAGAATACATAACTTAGCTTATCAGGGAAAGAAGGATAATCTTGATTTCTCCATGATTAGGGAGGAGGAGACCCAGAAGAGAAAGGAAAACATTGTTAGTTGCCGGGTTTCTGTTCTTGTGACTAAAAGGCTGAGGGGTCACTCCAGTTAAACTGGGCTAATTGGGCTGCACGAAATAACCACACAAGAGACACAAATACCTTTTTCTTTGGGGTCGCTGTGACGGCTCCTTTGACCTTAAGGGTCTGCAGGAAGAGAGAGAGCCAGAGCATGCGCTGACCCCTTTTATTAAGGAGAAGCTATTCAAATGAGGAAAGGCATCAGGTTTCAGGGGGGGCTGAGTCTATCTTCATGATGTCCACTGTCAGCAGGTTGACTGACACCTGGGTAGGCCACACCCAAGGGCACAGTAAGAGAAGGAGACACACACAAGGCACTTCCATGGAAGATTCTATCCTACACAGGGCAAGGGGTTATATTACAAAGGAACAGGTGAGCGTAGCTTCACCCATGGGGCTGTAGCAAGACACACCCATGCACGAGACATCAACCCTCAAATCCAAGAAGGGTGGGGAAAGCTCTGCCACATTTCTGTGACTTAGCACCTCAGCACCCAGTCGGGGAGTGTGACTCAGTCACATGTAAGGTTGGTTTCCCACAGTTATTTTTTTTTTTTAATGCACAGGAAGAGCATCAAGGGATATATTCAAAGCATGAAGTCATGTTACACTATCACCATAGATGATCATCTTTGGGTCTGGTCTCATTCGTGCTGAAACCAATTCACAGCAGAGCTGCCAATGCTGTTGTCCCCATAGGTGATCCTGGCTGTCTGCTGTGGGTCCACTTAAATGGAGAATTGTTGATTCACTTCCTCAAATGCTACAGGGCCTGCAAGGAGAAAAAAGAGTGTTGTAGACATAAGAATTAACATTCCCAACAGTTCCCTCTCCAAGGTCTCATTGAGTTCCATGGATCTCTGTGCCTACAGTGCCCAAGAATCTCAGCACCACTGATTCATGGGCTTCATTTGAAGATTGAGCTTTTCAATACCTGAGTAAACATGTGCTAGATTCCTGGCAGTTGTATCCCTTAGACTCACACAAACCTGGGAGCATAGCATGGGGATTTCAGAATTGCATCTTCCCATCCTGCACCAGGTTCCTGAGCATCCTGCTTACCAAAGACAGGGACCTGCTGAGCTCAGAATCAGGACCAGGCAGTACCAGAACTCGTGGCTGTGTGGGAGAGTAGGGTTTTTTTTAAAAGCACCTTGTTCATTGATCCTGGAGCTCAGGAAAAGTTGGGTCCATGCCATGTTGAGCCTCCATAGATATCACTTGCTGAGTCCTAGACCACGCTGGCTTCATCTCAGGCTTCTCCTGTGCCTATCTGAGAAATGCTACCCAAAAAGCAAATCAGTCTGAACTCAGCTGCTGGAGGAGTTTTGTAGAGTATCAGGTCTCAGCCTCTGATGAATAGAGGGGAGAAGTAAAGTTGCAGACTGAATTGCAGCCCAGGGGAAGTGCTTCACTAGCTGGTTTCATTGCCTAAGTGGCATCTCACCCTTGCACTCTCTCCTGGCCTTGCCCTTATGCTGTCCTCACCATGCAGAGGTCAGAGGTGAGGGTCTCTGAATTTTCAACTTAGTCTGAAACTCTGCCCATGGTATGATCCTGGTTCTATTCAACAGGTAGCTTGAAAGACACAGTGCTAACTTTTAAATTATCCTGGCATGAATCCCAGGCATTCCTGTAATTCATCCTGCCTCAGGAGGAAGGTGATTAATTGTGGTCTGAGCCTGCAAGGGTGTCCTGTTTATAAATGTTTTCCAGCACAGTCCAGATATCAAGTCAGTTTTAGCTGCATTTTAAATGTTTTTTTTTTTTTTTTCACAGAACTGAATGTGGCAACTCTCCCAATACTACTACATGTGCAGAAAGAGTCTTACACAGTGCAGGATCGTATCCAAGATCACACAGCTGCAGTGGAGAGCTAGGGTAAAATCCCTGCATTGCCAAATGAACCTGGAGTGTTTAAAGGTACTTGAAATGTGGTATGTTTCTGTCTTTCTTTGTGAGCTCTTGGGGCCCTTGGTAAGTTTTGCCTAGGTATCTCTAGTGTGCACCCATGGCCAGGACCAGGTCACATTGTGATAGAAATGGTTATCTAGAAGAAAGTTCTAGCAGTCTGGAAACTCAAGGATCTCTTCATGTAAGTGTTAAGTATAATTAAGTTTTTTTTTTCCTTTGCTGGGGAAAATCTAAAAAATGGGGGAAAAATGTTCAGCCAGGTATAGATGCTCATGTTCTAATCCCAGGTACTCAGGAAGTTGAAGCAGGAAGATCACAAGTTCAAGGCCACCCTGGGCAACTAATGTTACCCTTTGTCAAAATTCAGGAAAAAGAAAATGGAGCTATAAATATAGCTTAGTGGTAGAATCCCTGGAGTTCAATGATTAGACTGCAAAACAAACAAACTCAATTAAGTCTACACAAGTTAATAAGTAATTCTCAGTATGCACCACAATAAGAATTCATAGAAGAAAATTTGGTAGCTGTCCCTAAGAGAGAAACAGTCCAGGTAGAGTGGAAGGTGAGGGAGCTTCTGGAGAATGAGAATATGCAAAGTCTGGCATTAAACTTAGATCATGGAGTGGAGCAGAAGAAAGTGGGACACTTGTTAATGCAGGATGCCCAGTTGTTTATGAATAGTGACAGTTTCAGGCCAAATGGGTAGACTTTGGGGAAACAGGGAGCCTGGATGTGTACCAGATCACAGACAACTTCTTCATAGTTAGATCTGAGCCACAGGGAGCCAGAAGAATGAATCATAAGTGCCCAAAATGCCTAAAATAGAACAATAAGCAAGACCTAGAAAATCCAAGACTGACAACAATCACTTTGACTAAGCAAGGAAACACATGTAGGCTCAGCAAGGGTATATATATATGGTGAATACACAGTTTTTTGCTGCCCATCAGTTCATCACTCTGCCTATGGGGGCACTGCACAAATCAATCCCTGGGTGGCTCAGGGACTAGGGGGGTGGCCAAATCTGCACCCTTTTGCTGCTCAAAATCTGCCAGCATAAATACTCTAGATTTTAATCAACTAGAGCAGCCTTTTTGTGATCTTTGTCCTGAGGGAAAACATGAAGGATTGTCTAGGAATAAGGAATTTCCCCATTAAGAGTCTATCTGACTTAATTTCTCATTACTTGTGTAAAGAATCTCTAACTATTATATGCAAGTGTGATCTTCAGTACTTTTTGAGCAGAGTATGATTTTCTTTCATGTGTGTCCCCATTTCCATGAGATGTCAGTACTAATAGAGACATAATGGAGCTAGAGGTAAGTTCTGTGTTTACTGTTTAAAAATTTTCCCCCTAACAATTTGTCCTTATGTAAGTACCCTGAAAGTTAATTCCTAAAACCATTAACTAAGGTACTGTGAAGGGAAATACAGGCTATGTGGCAGCTTTGTTCAAGCCCTAGAGAAGATGTTTTTGGTGGAGTGATAACACGAGTCTCTCAGGAAGCCATAGCCATCACAGCTGAAACTGTGCTGTGAGTTACTCTAGGTTGTACTTGAATTCAGCACATCCTTCCCCCTGGAGAGTTGGGACTTCTCTTTCTGGCATTTATTAAAACCTCCCTTCATATTCCCAGGATTCCATGGTGTGCTGATATGAGAGATGGGTGAACTTGGGCCATGTGAGGATATTTATCTCTAGGGTACTACTATCCTAGGCTCATAAAACCTCCCCCTTCTCAGGACATCAAGTTCTCAGGGAAAAGAAGAGAAGGTTCCCATCACCTGTTTCAGGTTGTGTTAAAGAGATGGGGAAAGAGTGTCTCTTTCTGAAGTCCATCTCCCAGCTCTTCCAAAGGAGGAACTCACAAGCCTGAAACGTCTGAATCCATCCTCACTGCAGCACACATAGAAAGGAAACCAATCAGAATTCCCTTTCCCTCATGATTTCCCCAAAGATTGAATATCCCCACCCCCCAACTCACCTGCTGCTGCCTCTGCCACTGTCCTCTCCTTGCTTCTTATGTGTGAATGGTAGCAGGAGAGGGGAGCAATTTGACTGTCTGAAATTGACCCTCTATATTCAGGGAGGAGCTGGGAAGCTACAGCTGCATCCAGAAAGCAGCAGACTTCCTCAACAGCTTCTTTTGGTTAGCATTTAAGTTCTAGAATCTCTTTACTTAAAATCAAGGGCTTTTGAGAAGTGTGGGACTCAGAGGTCAAAATTTGACAGATTGCCCTTTTATTTATAGATGAAAACATTTGATTGAGTGTCTTGGTAAATAACATTTTTTGGGGGAAAAATTGTGCTCACAAGACTACTGATTCTGACAGATTCTATTCCCAAGACTTGTGCTGATATAATTTCTTAAAAGATGTACAGCTTACTGTAATCCACCTATGAGGTCCCCATAACAACAAAGCATAAGGAACTTCATAACAACATAACCTCATAACAAATCCAAAGTCTTCCAAACGAACCTTGTATTTGTAATGATCTGGGTCATTCAAAACAAGTTGCTTCATCTGTTGATCCCGCCCCCTTTTATAAACCCCAGTCTGCCTTTACCTTGATGGTTCCATTGTTTGATTTCTAACAGAAACTGTATCTCTCAGTTTGCAAATCCATTCTGTAACTGAATATAATCTTTAATTTAAGGTTAACCTTATTTATCATTTCTTGGTTTGCAATCCTCAGTTTTGACAGGATCCTGCTGCACTCAGTGGTGACCAGGCACTGCCATACTCACAGCCAACCTTGATTTTCACCAATGGAAACCTTTATCAGGGTCCCTTCAACAGATGGATCTTAAGGCCTAATGGTAGTCTGGGACACAGGAACATCTCAGCTCAGCCATTTTCCCAAGGAAAATTTTTCCTTGGGCTGGTCTCATCTCTCACAGAATTGTCCCCACTGGCTGGTGGTGAACAAAACCTAACATTATGTTGTCAAAATGACCCCAATTATGACCCAAGTTGTCTCTCCTTAGGAATGTCCTTGAAGCAGAGTTACAGAATACAGGAGTTTGCAAGGAGAAAAGTCACAGGACTCAGGGATCCGGAGAGGGACATGGGGCTATAACTCCAAGTCACTGAGGAGGAAGAGGGGAGACACAGAGGTTTTGCCTCCACTTCTCCTTCCCTTGTGTCACTGTGGCCTACTCACTCTGGCCATCAATTGTATGACTCTCTCCACAATAATAATCAGCCTCATACTCAGGCTGGATGTTGGCAATTATTAAGTAATGATTAGCCCCAGAACTAGAGCCTGTGAAGCAATAAGAGATCCCAGTCCCCTTGCTGTGGCTGCCATCACTGTTCACCTTCATTATATACTGGGGGCTGTTCCCCAGCCTCTTAAGATACCAGAAAATTAAGTAGTTGCTGTGCTCACTGCTCAGGGTGCAGGTGAGTGTGGCTGAGGCTCCCAGGGAGGCAGATGCAGATGGTAAGTGTGTCAGCACAGGAAGGGCCCAAAGACATGGTGATACTGAGTGCTTAAAAGAATGGAAATACCTCCCCTTGGGATCTTTGGAGGGAAATACAGAGAGGGTCCCCAGATTGCTTTGGGATGCTCTTACCTGTGGAGAAAACAAGGAGCAGGAGGTAAAAGTGAAGCCACTCCATAGTGGGTAGGTGCTACCAAATGCTCTGACTTGAGGCTGCCCAGCTGGGCCTAGATTAGGTAACGCTCCCTTTTATCTTGTCTTCTTGTAGCTAGAGAAAGGAGGAGCATTGCATGCAAATTGGTTCTTCTCTTCCCCAGCTTATTTGTGTGCATTTGTGTCTGAGCTCTGAGCTTAATGGCTCTGTGCTGGTAATATCCTAAATTCAGAAGAAGGGCCTCACTGGGTCCTGGTGCAGTGGCACATGCCTGTAATCCCAGCATCACTGGAGGCTGAGGCAGGAGCATTGTGAATTCAATGCCAGTCTCAGCAAATGAGCAGGGCCATAAGCATGTCAATGAGACACTCTCTCCAAATAAAGTATCAAACAGCTGGGGATTTGGCACAGAGGTTAAGTGGCCCTGGGTTCAAACCCTGTCGCGACCCCTTGCCCGCAAGGAAGACACAACTCCGAAATCTTCTCTCAGTAGTTTTATTCGGGCCCTTGATATT